ATAATTTGTTTGCTCGACGGTAGGCTGGTACTTTTTAAAACTTAACCAATCGCTGCTATTTGGACGTGACGTATGTAATGCACTGCTAACGAGGCTAACTGGTATATTAAGCTTTTCCCAAATCCCGTAAGAAGAAGGACAATAACGTCTTTCCCCTTGATCAAATTCACCAAACATTCTCTTTGTTCCGGCTTTAAATCCTTGATCTCGGGAATCGTTGCCGACACAGAATGTCTGACTCTTCGCTGATTGGCTGGTCCCCGAACTCACTTCCAGGGTTCTTGCAAACTGTCTAGTGTATTCTGATTCGTGACCTAGTCGCTGGAGAGAAATGAAATTGAGTGGAGGCACTAGACAAAACAAAAAGCATCATTACAAACAACCTGACTGTGAAATCAACAAGATGTGAAGATTAAGGAGCTAAAATATAAAGGTGCTACATCGTACACTCTGCCTTGACTGCATCGCTGGTAAACCAAGAAGTAAAGCTCATGCGCAGTTGTTGTTAGCATGCTAGTTGCTGTTACCATTACCGTGTTATATAGTTTTGCGTAAATGCTAAGTTCAGACCCACTATGTCATTTTTCTGTTACACCTTCAACAGAGCGGAGGAGCTGGAGGGTTCCATGCTGTTATTCCGACATGCCGCTATTTAAATATTGTCATCTAATGGTCGAAGTAGCGGCGTAAAGCTTATTTATTAAACATTCAGCTTTTTAAAATTATTATTTGTTTATTTTTTTCATTCATAGTATAAAGTATAAAAGAGTGCGTCACAACAAACATACAAAAACTGAATGAAAAGGGCAAAAAGAAGAGAAATCTTAAGTTCTCTGCCCCTTTTCCCCGCTTCCAGACAAAAAATCAACACCGACAGTTACATTAAAACATTTCAAATCAGTACATTTCACTTCAGTCACAATTATTAATCAATTGCAAACAGAAATCTTCACTTTTATGCACAACAACTTAGTTTCCTTTTTCATACATAAACATTGCACTGGATTTGATGTGTTTTTTTAAATGCCGTCATTGTACTTGATTCTTTTATATCTTTGTCAAGACTAACCTTGATTTTGAATCTGTTTTTTTTTTTTTTTAACATATAGCTTGCTTTTAAATTGTAGTGGCTTGTTTTTATCTCAAACAGACTTTACAGGTGATGCACTGCACTTTACTTTTCCAACATGAGTAATATTAATGTGATAGTCTGTTATACTTTACACTCACATATATCATAAGATGCTTGGGCCAGTGCAAAGCTCTTGATCAGAGAATACTTGGGCCACAGAGGACATCAGACAGACACTGCATTTTAAAAAAAAAGTAGGCCAGACTTCGGAAAATATCTCATCTAAAACTGAGGCTGCATGGGCCTTTGTGCTTCATTTATTTCATCATGTAGGTCATTGTTTCACAAACTTTTTCTCTGGGGCGCGACCCAAGCCAATAAACATTATTCGTAAATCACAAAATAAATTTGTGACCATTATTGAACATGAATGAGGATATTTTATTGTTGACTGAGTGATTGTGTCTCTGAACAATTAGTATTACTGTATTTTTCGGACAATGAGGTGCATTAAACGAAACAAACGGATAACACTTGAGACTTTTATTTCCTACGAGGGCGACTCAAATATACGTTGAGTAATAATGTCTTTAATGCAGCTTTGCGCACATTTGTTTACATTTTACAGAAACAAAACTTAAAACCACATGGCTCATTTGTATAAACAATAAGCAATAAAAAAAAAACTGCACACTCTTTATGCGCTGATGTGGTTCAGCTTTTGTTAGACTAAAGGACACGACTCAGTGGAATATGTGTGAAAACATAAGACGCACCTTAGAGTCTGAAAAATATTGTACAGTAATCAGTGTTTCCCACAGAAAATTGGTTAGGCAAGGTTGTGTTGCTAAAAAAATGAGGAGCGGGGACTCGTGCGGAGATGTATGTATATGTATATCGCAGACCTACATGTAGATCGTGACAAGGCAACCCAAAAAACATCTCTTATGACCCACCTGAGGGTTGCCATCTAGTCTTTGGGAAACAATGATGTAGGCAAAACATCATTCAGCCTAAATAAATAACCGATCAAGTTCATGGCACCAGCTCAATGAGATGACACTTTCACAACCCGAAACACACATATGATGTGTCAGAATAGGGATACAAAAAAATGGTGTAATACCGGCACGTCTAAATAGAGATATGTTGTAATGAAGGGATGTCGGAATAGGTGGTGGACCCCGAGCAGGAGCAGTCAGGGACCCATCTCCAGACCTAGGGCTGGGTTCATAGTCAAGAGTATTTAACCTAATCAAATATACTGTATTTTCCGGGATATTAGATGCGCTCTTAAGCCTCTAACCCTATCAAAAAATGACCGCGCACCCACCATTCCAGAGCACCCTATACACGAATTTACTCGGGTGTCCCAGCACGACTTCAGTAAACTACAAAGCTGCACCACCTGCAGATCACGCCAACACACACGGAGCAGACAGCGACCACGCAGCGAAACACACCCACAGTCACACTCATCACTTCACTCCGACGAGGAACGAACCGAAAAAACGAGTGCAATGTGCCACTTCTAGACACAACTGAACAACTCAGTCACTGCGAACACGCCGACAATCCAGTGGTCCCAGACAGCACCCTCCCTACACACCACAACTGAACAAAGCCCAGAGTCACCGTGAACGCCCCAAACAAACAAAACCACTCACCCATCACACTGTTGTGTTTCCTTTAAAGTCCGGTGCAGTTTATTTGTGAAAAAAGTTCGAAAATAGACCATTCGGTGACAGTGCGCCTTATAATCCAGAGCGACTAATAGCCCGGAAAATACGGTTTATTATAAGGCTGAGCTTACGTTTGCATATTCTGTGATGTTATGATCCGCCCAGTGTTTGGACACAGCTGTAGCGTCGGCGTCTTCTCAGCGGTGATGTCCCTGTAGTGCGTAGTGTGTGTGTGTGTGTGTGTGTGTGTGTGTGGCATGTGTGAGGTCAGACAGAGTGCACAGAGAGAGACCACTTTGCTCCAGTCCCTCCTGACCCCTTCTCCTCTCTCAAACACCAGTGAGGCTGACGAGCAAGTCAAGTGGAAGAGCTCCCTGTCTGCGTCTCTCTCCGTCTCATCATCTCACCGTCTCTCTCTTTTTCCTCTTCTTTCTCTTTATTTACCGTCGTGCGTCTTTTAACTATGAGATGACACCACATTTACTAGTACTTGTCAAAACCGTGTCTCGTCTGAACTTGCGCTGGTTAACGCTTTGACGGGAGACCACTGGGAATTCCCACAGCGGTGCGGCGGCGGCTCTGTTGTCTCCTGTTCTTCGTGACCTTTAGGCAAGACAAAAGGTAGTTTATTTGCTTTGGTCAACTGGTATAAGTATTAATCATGTTTACAATGATTCATGAATGACACACAAATAAACACTTCATTTTTTCTACAGAGTAAAGGAGGACACTGCACAATATACATGAACAATAACACTAGATGCGTTGGACAAGGTTGTAGCACAGTGATCATTTCCTCCTGTCGTCCTTGGGCAGGAGGTTGTTATGGTTCATAAAATAAAGAAAAGAACAGAAAATGTCTTGTAGATTTTATAGAAATGCATATGTACACGTAAAATAAAACAAAGGAATATACGAAGACAATTAAGTCTCTGTTATAGACAAAAGGTTGTAAAGAAAACAGTGCAAAGACGAAATAGTGATTGACAGGACATAGGGTTATCTGTTACATAAGGGTGAGTTGTTGTACAGTTGTAGGGAGTATTATCTGTTACATAAGGGTGAGTTGTTGTACAGTTGTAGGGAGTATTATCTGTTACATAAGGGTGAGTTGTTGTACAGTTGTAGGGAGTATTATCTGTTACATAAGGGTGAGTTGTTGTACAGTTGTAGGGAGTATTATCTGTTACATAAGGGTGAGTTGTACAGTTGTAGGGACAGTTGTAGGGAGTATTATCTGTTACATAAGGGTTAGTTGTTGTACAGTTGTAGGGAGTATTATCTGTTACATAAGGGTGAGTTGTTGTACAGTTGTAGGGAGTATTATCTGTTACATAAGGGTGAGTTGTTGTACAGTTGTAGGGAGTATTATCTGTTACATAAGGGGTTGAGTTGTTGTACAGTTGTAGTAGGGAGTATTATCTGTTACATAAGGGTGAGTTGTTGTACAGTTGTAGGGAGTATTATCTGTCTGTTACATTGTAGGGTATTTATTACATAATGATGAGTTGTTGTACAGTTGTAGGGAGTATTATCTGTTACATAAGTGTGAGTTGTTGTACAGTTGTAGGGAGTATTATCTGTTACACGAGGGTGAGTTGTTGTACAGTTGTAGGGAGTATTATCTGTTATATAAGTGTGAGTTGTTGTACAGTTGTAGGGAGTATTATCTGTTACACGAGGGTGAGTTGTTGTACAGTTGTAGGGAGTATTATCTGTTACATAAGGGTGAGTTGTTGTACAGTTGTAGGGAGTATTATCCATTACATAATGATGAGTTGTTGTACAGTTGTAGGGAGTATTATCTGTTATATAAGGTGAGTTGTTGTGAAATTGTAGGGAGTATTATCTATTCCATAGGAGTGCGTTGTAGAGAGTTTTATCTAACATTAAGGTGAGTGGTCGTACAGTTGTAGGGAGTATTATCTGTAACATAAGCATGAGTTTTGTAGGGAGTATTATCTGTTACATAAAAGTGATTTGTTTCACAGTTGTAGGGAGTATTATGTATAACGTGAGGGTGAATTGTTTTACAGTTGTAGGGAGTATTATCTGTTACATAAGGCTGAGTTGTAAAATATAAAAACATGTGTCTAAATCCAGTGTTTTATTATAATTCCAGTTCATATTGGAGAAACAATAACAAATCTTCTAAAACAGGATTTCCTCTTCTGTTTTGTGTGCAGGTTCGGACGGCTGGCTTCTATCCCAGCTGACTCATTTTGAAGCGGGAAAAACGTGGAATATTTAAACTTTGGCACAGCTCGGACACTCGGAGAGATCACCTGTTCACGGACACGCCCTGATATGGTCAACATAGACTGACCACTTCCTCAAAAGCATCTCTTCAGACTGTGTGAGTAAAGATATTTTCTGTCGCGATGCTGTTTGGGTTTCAGTTTTTTGAAGAGCTGTGTGTGGTTTTTATTACGTCTATTGTTAATTTTGTTTTTGGATTACAGTTTGTAACAGTGTAAGGATTAGTTTTTGCTATTTACTTTGATCAGACGTGACTTTTTGGACAGTTTTTGAGCACTTTTTTAGCAATATATCGTTTTTTAGATTTCCAATTTAGATTTCTTTTTTGTATTTTCATATACAAAAAGATGCATGGATTTTATATTGTTCACTAGGTCCTTTAAGTTGCCATAAAAATCAGTATTATTAATCATAGTAATTAAAAAAGGCCTTAGATTAAAGCTTCCATCTTATAAATGCATAAAACTGAACATTATAGCGGCGCATTTCTTTTTACTTATTACATTTACAGAACATAGAGAAAATTAGATTCAAACATGGATTAAAATACAACGAAGCCTCCGACAATTTAATGATTATCAAATGCTTCTCTATATAATTGAGGTTTTGCGTTTATGTCACAAAACTAACATGGTGTTTATGTCGCCGTATTGGAGGTCAAACTATCCAACTGGACAAACGTGTAATATTTGTGTGCGATAAAATTTGAATTGAATAACAATAGTTTGACGTGTGTTGCTATTGGATGTTCTGTCATCCAATCAATCTGCTAAAGAAGGAGGCCAAAGTATGTTTCTATCAGATCCCGGCTGATAAAGACAGATTCAGACAGAAGTGGACAGTGGACATAAAAAGAGAGGGAAGACGTTTGTACAGTCAACATTTCATTTCTAGTGAGGGACCAGCTCCACACAAACGAAGAACAGATTTACACTAAATGAAATGATAGATACCAAAAGTCGACATTGAGCTTCTCTCACCTCACAACCTGTGCACATGGCCTCCAACTTGTCCCGACCGGGCCGGAAAGCGGAGAATTTCTTGTTCAAGTCATCGTTAAATGTGCATTTGTACTTCGGCGTGTTGCAGGCTGAGTGACTGTTTGTGTCTGCTCGCTGCTTCTGATGCACAGAGAGAGACTGACGAGAGATGCTCAATTTAATGTCCCAATGAAAGGAAATGAAAACCCAGACGTTTGCATCACTTATAAAAGCAAAACAAAAAACGGACTCCCAGGACAGGACACAAAAAACGGACATGTCTGGGGGAAAACGGATATTTGGTCACCCTTGTAGGTATGAAGATTGATAACCTGCTTTCACTAGATTATATCCAGTCATTATGCACATACACCCCATCGCCAGTGAAAGACAAAGCAAAACATTCACTTATGTCCTATGGAAGAAGATCTAACATGAAAAAAATTCCACAATTCCACAACCCAGGAGGACGACTTTAGCTTTATACTTTTCTAATGACGGCTGATCTAACAAGCTGTCGATTTCAAACAACAGTTTTATGTTCGTTTGTGCTTTTTAAAGTCGCCATGATTATATTGTAAACTGAATAACACCATCCGGATAAACCCCAGTCTTGACCTCCAATATGGCCACCAAAACATTAAATCACATGACTGTCGCGTCACATGCAAATCCTCTATAGCTCCTCCTCTTTCCCTCTATAACTCCTCCTTTTTTCCTCTATAACTCCTCCTCTTTCCTTCTATAGCTCCTCCTCTTTCCCTCTATAGCTCCTCCTCTTTCCCTCTATAGCTCCTCCTCTTTCCTCTATAGCTCCTCCTCTTTCCTTTATAGCTCCTCCTCTTTTCCTTTCTATAGCTCCTCCTCTTTTCCTTTATAGCTCCTCCTCTTTCCCTCTATAGCTCCTCCTCTTTTCCTTTCTATAGCTCCTCCTCTTTCCTCTATAGCTCCTCCTCTTTCCCTCTATAGCTCCTCCTCTTTCCCTCTATAGCTCCTCCTCTTTCCCTCTATAGCCCCTCCTCCTCTGTTCCTCTATAGATAGATGGAAGAGATAGAGGTGGTATTGACTGTCTGTCTCTTTGTGCTGCTCTAGTTGCTTTGTTGTAATTAAGAGAAATGGACCAAAAGTTGAATGGGCCGATGCCTGGTGCCTGTTACGCACTGGATTATGGGATTAGAGAGTGGTCTGCTCACTAAGCTGTGTCCAAACATGACTTTGTTTGTTTCCCCCGGAGATCAGGACAGAGGTCTTTTAAGGACGCTTACCTTCTCTGGACCCTCTCTGTCCTTATTAGTTTCCCTTCCCCTCCTTTAACTCAACCAGAACGTAGTACACTATTGAGTTTTGGAGTTTTGTGTTTGTGTTTGTTGGACAGGGGAAAATTGAATTCACCAATTCAAGCATAAATGTCACAACGTGTATTAGAAATATACCCAAAAATATCAGCTCAGAGATATCAGCAGGGCTTTTCAGCCATCGGTTTTTCTTCATTCTAAACAATCGGCATTGGTCATGAAAAAAGACATATTAGTTTATATCTAATAACAATTATTGTGAGTAAAAACAGAGTATCATAAAGAGATAGACCGATGTATCAAATCAAATCAGCTATTGACCTTAAATCTCCACCAGCAGCTTAAATATGCATGAAAACTATATGCATGAAGCTTTACCTGAACATTTTAGTTTAAAGAGGCTCCTGCAATAATGCGACTACTCTGCTCTCTACTCTGTTTGTCGAAATCACGGCTGTAGATGAGTTTGTACCAAATTATAATTAGATAATTTAGGAAAAACTTCCAAAATCAGCTGTATATATCGGCCTAAAAATATCTCCAAAACTCACTGGCGATTGGAAAACATATATCTCTAGCATTATACTGTTATTGTATCAAATATACTGTTGACGAGGTGCAATATGCCGAAACTTATATTCAAAATTAAATCCCTGTTTACGCGTACACAGGTCTTTTTTAAAAACAGAGACATTTCTCTTCGTTTGTACTCATCTTTGACACGTAACCGGCAAATTCATCTCTGAAAATGAATCTTAGAGTAGAGATTCTATAAAAGTACGGTTTGGCGTTTGCGTGTAAAGTGAGATAAACAGTTTTAGGAGGTGACGCGCCAAAAGTGCAACCGACATTTACCTTTTGCCACGATGATGATGATGATGATGAAGCATTCAGAGCAGCAGTGGCATTTCTTCCAGTGCAAACACTTTTCATGTGTTTGCATTTGCACACAGCTGATGTTTCATATCCATGAGCAGAGATGAATCAGCTTGGAGGTCAGACATTTTTCCACTTCTTTAACAGATCTGTGGAGAGGCGAGTCCACTCAGTAATGCAAAATAAATAGTAATGAATTAGTAATCAATAATGAAATAAAAGCTACAGGTTTGAATCTAATCCAGGTGGCACCCAGAGGCTCGGTGTAGTTATGACGGCTCTCGATGGCGTATTTATGCGAGTCGACGTAAATGAAAACTTTTTTTTGAAAACAATGCTGTGTGCACGATGTTATTTTGGAAAACAGAGGGAGGGAAATATTTGTTTCTCAACATACCCGGTAACATGGAAACATAACCTAAGTTGTGGCAGCACTAAAATTGTATTGCTTATTTAGAGAAAAAAACAAAAACATTAGTCTAATAGCGTCAGCATATTGTCTTTTTTGTAGTGTATTTCATAGAGTTGTGCATGTAGTAACGAAATATCTTAGAATATTGATAATTCACGTATGTATTGGCTAGGGATGGGCATTCGATTCAAATTTTCTTAATTGATCGTCGGGAGAATTAACGATTATCGATTAATCATTAACGTTTTTATATTTACATTATCATCATTATCACTACTATCTGCACTACTAATCTGTATAAATAAATTCAACTTCACGACATATAAACCGTAACGACTATAGAGCCACATCAGCCTGTTTGACGTTATAATGTGTTTAATTCAGTTCAGTGCAACTTTCACAGAAACGAAACTTAAAACCGCATGGCTAATTTGCATAAACTAAGCGAAGAAAAAAAAAAAAAACAGCTCTGATGCGCTGATGCGGCACGACTCAGTGGAATACAGGTTAGTGTGACCATATTTGCGTTTGTCAAAACCAGGACACCGTACGGGGGGAGGGAGGTGGGGACTCGTCATCGACATTGCGCGACTCTCACCTGGTAAAACTTTTTCATGTTTTCGGTGTCCTGGTGAAGCTTTTTCCCACTGGACACCGAAGCATATGTGCTGCTTTATACACTGTGCACATGACCTCTCACTTGTCCCGACCAGGACGGAAAGCCTGGAATTTCTTGTACAAGTCATCGTTAAATACGCATTTGTGCTTCGGCGTGTTGCAGGCTGACTGACTGTTTGTGTCTCGCTCCTTCTGAGTGCAGAGACACATGTACAGACCCCTGTTTGTCACCGGACAGATGTTTGGTCACCCTACGCTACGCACAGCAACCTACATTTGGTTTGTCGATTAACGGTTTGCTTGTGTACAAGTCTCTCCATGGCCGAGCACTAAAGTCCATCTGTGACATGTTAGTGTCATATGAACCATCTCACACTCTGAGGAGCTCAGGGACCAGCCTCCTGCTGGTGCCCAGAGTCACGACTAAACAAGGGGAGTCAGAGTTTCAGGTTCATGCAGCTAAAACCTGGAACAGTCTGAACATGTGAGACAGACTCTTCTGTGACGCTGTTTAAATCCAGACTCAAAACATTTCTGTTTAACTGTGCATATAACTGAAAGGTTTTCATTCCGCACTCTTCTCTCCAATTTATGTCTCTCTTTTTAAATTTTAATCTTTGTGATTATTTATGTTTTGATTTGTTTTTATTATGATTTAATGTATTTTTAATTCTATAAAGCACTTTGAATTACTTTGTATAAGAATTGTGCTGTACAAATAAACTTGCCTTGCCTAAAATGAACGTAATCGATGAAATTCTTAATGATCAATTATCGATTAATCGACTAACCATGCCCATCCCTAGTATTGTCACACTGTGAGAGTATTTTATTGTAGCCATGACTCCCAGCCTGCCACATACACCACTCTGTACAGTAGTATAGTACAGCTGTAATTATATGTGCATGGTATAC